TGGGAAATGCAGCAGCTACTGACAAATTTCAAAATAAAAATAGATACCAATAAAATTACATTAATTGAGGCATCAGTAGGTTAAATGTTTTTGAATATTTACATAAAACTGTAATTTAAGATAAGACTGTCCAACTCTAAACCATTATTCTAACCTTCTTCAATGTAAATGTGCTTATGTATGCTTCCAATAATAATAAAGTAAAATAATAGAAAGGTAATAATAACATAATAGGGTAAAATAATAAATGCAATATTAATAATAGAGCAAAATAATAAATGTAATAATAAATGATTAAAATAATAAATGTAATAAAAATAATAATAGAGTAAAATAGTATAAATATAATAACAATAATAATAGAGTAAAATAATAAATGTAATTAAAATAATAACAACAGAGTAAAATAATAAATAACCTTGACTCGAGTATAAGCTGAGGGGGGCTTTTTCAGCCTTTAAAAAGGGCTGAAAACTTGGTTTATATTCAAGTATATACAGTAGAATATGAACTTTAACTTAGTATGCCATTTATACTTGTCAAACAGCAGCCATTCGTTAAATTAACCCTAAAATTGTTTTCAGATTTTCCTTCTACTTCTTAAAATGTTTAGTTCTTCATTTTCTAGCAAACAGAGCAGAATTAGCAAGATGCATAGTCATAAAAATCTCACTCACTCCTAGCAATGTACAGATCTCTTCCAAGAGGAATTTGTTTGGCAAAGAGTAGAAGAAATGCACAAGGAATAGAAGTCTTGTGGGCCTTTTAATAACTGCTGATATCACCCACTTCAGCAGACTTGCAGATATAGGATCTTTAGTGTGCCATACTGTTAAACCTGAAATCTGAAAGACAGTAGGCATATTAAGGAACCACAAAGCAGTGGATGCTTTTCTTAAGAGGGCCACAGAGAAGAGTCTGAAATAGGGTTTTAAACCAAATGTCCTTTTGTATAAAGGATAGCATGTAGAACAAGACATTTGTGTGGATACACATAAGGGACTAAAATCCTGAAGAGACTGTATTCTGCTCACACTTATTGACAGCGAGAAGAATGATCAAGAGGCATAATACTGACCTTGTGTTTTTCTTCTTAGGTATACAAGTCTATTTATTTCATAGGGCATCTATGGTTCTTCACCCTACTGTTGATAATGCCTTACCTCCGAAAAATACTAGTGCCACAAAAAGAAAAGTTAAAGAAAGATGAGTAACAACCAAAAGGTAAAGAGAAATCCTCCTGGACTGTTTTGCTGGGTTTTAAAAAAAATCTGGGATGGGTTGTTGATGGTACATATCCAAATAATGTTGTTTTTCCTCTTTCAGATTGTACCATGTGTGCATTTATTATGGAGATTGTTGAAGCATCACCTGCCAAATTTGCCAGCGTCTGCCCTTACGGAGTGACTAAGGGAGAATAGAGCACAGGGGTTAGGATCCCAGCACGAGGGGGAAGAGAGGAACTGCTGCGAACTCCTCCTCCCCTTTGACAGATTGCCTTATCTTTCAACTTCTCTCCATCGACACTCCTGTCTCTGGAAATGTCAGATGATTGTAAAGCACTAAACGCAGCTGCCATTTGAGAATGGAGCCACTGCCTGACTTTTTCTACTTTCTGATTCTGCTAGATAAAATTGGTCCCAGTTCATTTTTCATTGCTGCCTGAACTGCCTTTTTTCCAACATTTTTAGGAGTTTGTTTCTTGACTTGGGGAAGGGGGGGCGGGTCTCAGCCTCCTTGGCCCATGGGCATGGGTTGTGAACAATATCTACTCTATCTACAAAGTGGCTGCTACATGACACATGGCCATTTCACAGAAGACAAGAATGGTGAGAGACAAGGAAATCGCCCAGTAATCTCATTAGGCAGAAGTGGGATTGGAACACCAAAAACAAAATCATGACTATGGATCCAGTTTTCTATAACAGAACATTCATTTTACAGAAGGCAGTCTCTCAACCAGCTAATCCAGAAAGAAAGAAAAAACAGGATAGGGAGAAAACATACACAGGTATGACAGAATAGCATGGCCCTGCTCTTTCTGCACCCTGTGTGCCTTCCAGTTGTCTGTTGGCTTAAGGCAGCTCCAGGAGTATCTTAAGCAAGGAGTACTCTCAGATGCTTTTTCAAGTCCCTTCCTCTGAAATAAAGCCTTTATTACCTGGCATTGCTTGGCAGTCTTCTCCCAAGTAGTAATCAGGACTGACCCTGCTTAGCTGCTAAGATCCGACAGAATCTGGTGTATTTAGTGAGAGAAGAAATCAAAGACTACCTCTGCAGTATTCTCATTCTTAAGGAAGAGCAGGATTGGTTGTGGGTCAGAAGAAAAACGAATATGTGAATGAGCAGATCTCTCAGGAGAATAGATTATGCCCTCTCTTACATGAAGGCACTGTTAGGGATATCTACCCTAAAATATAGCAGAGCATCCAAAAACAAACAGGATACAAAAGTTGAGCATCAGCTCATTAACAAGCAGAGTGTGAAATGCCATTGGTTGTGGCTGTAAAGAATTTGGAGCTTAGGCAGGCAAAAATGCAGAGTCCAATCTTTAAAAAAATCACAAAAGCAATTTTTCATGGCTGAAATCACTGGGTTGTTGTAGGTTTTTCAGGCTATATGGTCATGTTCTAGAAGCATTCTCTCCTAACGTTTTGCCTGAGTCTGTAGCAAGCATCCTCAGAGGTTGTGAGGTGAGGATGCTTGCCATAGATACAGGCAAAATGTTAAGAAAGAATGCTTCTAGAACATGACCATATAGCCCGAGAAACCTACAACAACCCAAATCACAAAAGGTTTATTTACAATAAGAAGAAATAACTGCATCTGTATAAATAAAAATGTAATGTTCGTTTGTAGGATTAACATAACTCAAAACCCAATTTACAAATTGGACACAATACACCTATCAGGCCAACAAGTGACCATTGCTCATAAAAACACTGAAAAAAAACAGCAGAGACTTTAAAAGCCAAAAAACAAAAACCCCATTACAACGCCTGCGCAAAACCACATATATATATATATACATACACGCAGACACACATATACACACACAAAATACATATACACAGACTGGGCCACAGCATCGTGTGGCAGGGGACAGCTAGTATCTTAATAATCAAGAACTGGGTCTGAACCTACTCTTAATACCCATCTCATCTCAGGTTTCAAGAGAGGGGAAAAAATACCAATCGTACATCTCTCCTGACAAGCAGAGAAAGAGCTCAAAGCACACAGCACATATTCAAAATGTAGGAAATTGATGGCAGTTTTTAGAAAGGCTTGCAGTAGAAAAGTATCCATTTTACACAACCTGTCAAGATAATAACAGAAACAGAAGAAATAGATACATTCCCAAGTGTAATGCAGGAGACATGGGGGAAGGGAACCTTTACCCTATTCTAAGCTAACTAAACTGTTCCTCATCGAGGACTTGAGACTTGGGCAGTGTGGGGTTGAATTCCAACAGGCACCCCTTAGATTCATGGATTGCCTCCAATAATAGTGTATTATGTATTACATTAGCAGATGAAGGTGAAGATGGGATGGAAATAATAGTATCCTGCCTCCCCTTGCAACTCAAGGCAGGATACAACAGGGTTAAAACAAAGAGGACACTATTAAAATACAACAAAATACACACAAAACTATGCCAATAAAATGCAAGTTAAAACGAGTAGAGTCTCACTTATCCAACCTTTGCTTATTCTGTATTATCCAACACAGTCTGCCTCCCGCCCAGATCCACAGGCAAGGGAAGTGGAGTGTATCCTGTGGAATGTCCAGGCTGGGAGAAAAAAGAATTCTTGTCTGTTTTGGTGCTAAATTCGTAAATGCAGTAATGTAAAACATGATATTTTGGTGCTTAATTTGTAAAATCATAATGTAATTTGACGTTTAATAGGCTTCTTCTTTATCCCTCCTTATTATCCAACATTTTTGCTTATCTAACGTTCTGCCGGTCCGTTTATGTTCGATAAGCGAGACTCTACTGTAACTGGGAGGGCCTGCTGGAAGAAATTGGTCTTTTGTTGTCTTAAATTCTGACAGCTGATTTTCACTGTCAGATCTTTTCCAGCAGGTTGTTCTATAATCCTGGGCTGGTGGGAGTAGTCACCCCCTAAGGATCTCAGTGTTCGGGGCAGACTGTGTTGGAGAAGGCGATGTTGTAGGTAACCTGGACCCAAACCATGTAGGGCTTTCAAGGTCAAAACCAAAATATTTTGTATTTTGCCCAGAAACTAATCAGAAACCAGTGGAGTGGCATTAGGATATGTGTAATGTGATCACTCCTAGATGTTCTTGTAACCAATCTGGCTGCCTTATTTTGAACCAACTGGAGTTTCTGAGCTTGGTACAAAGGCAGCCCAATGTAAAGCACATTGCAGAAGTCCAACTTTGAGGTTACCAGCGCATGCACTACCATCTTTATCTCTTCCAAATCCAGGAAGAGGAACAGTTGGCATATCAACCAAAGCTGATACTAAACACTCCTGACTGTCGTATCTATATGGGTTGACACTTGGAGAGACGGGTCCAGGAGCACTCCCAAGCAGCGAACATTCTTTCAGGGGCAGCGCAACCCAATCCAGAACTGGCTGACAGACCTCGATCCAAGACCCTTGATAGCAAGCACCTGCATTGCCTGGATTCAGTTTCTATTTGTTTTTCCTCATCCAGCCCATTACCTCCTTCAGGCATTCATTGAGAGATGACACGATATCCTTAGCTAGAGCTGTTAAGTTACACAATCAGCTATACATATACCTGGTATGTACACTTTAACTAAAGTAGCTATTCTTAAGCATTCTTGAGTTAATTAGCATGGGAAAGGGAGATTTATAGCAGTCAGAATTAATACTAACACTTTCATTACCCAGTCAAGAAAGATTCCATTTTTAATTTTCAGTCGAAGTTCTGGGAAGGGAACCTAGCCACGCTTGGTGAACATGAAACTGCCAGTTTTTTTAGATTACCCCTAAAGACAGACAAAACACTATGTTCAAAAATAGTTTATTTGCTATAGAAGAGAACAAAGGAATGCCAAGGTTCGTATATTCCCCAAAACAAGGAATGTGCCATGTAGAACCCTAAAACATCACTTTGGAAGGTGAAGAAACAGACTGAGTCCAATGAAATGAGATTAACATGGGAAAGCTCACACTACGCCCCACGCTTCTTCAAAAGCTGATGTGATCTTGGCACACGTCAAGGCAGCAGAGAGTGGATAATTGCTGATTGAAATCATTTTCTCTGTGTAGTCAACGTTAACCTGAAAAAGAAAGACAGACAGCTTTCATATGTTACAATGTATTAATTATAGTAAGAGGGTGCAGTGAGTCCAGAGCCAACCATTAACCCTGGGATTGTTAGCCATAAAAATTGCTAAAACATATAAACTCAAAGTGGTCAGAAGTAAACTGATTTGGAAATGCCCTCCCTGCTGGAAAGGCAATCTATCTTTTAAATAGGTTATGGGCCTCCATGCACAATTTAATACTTTTTTAAAATATATTATCCAGAAGGGTCCTTTCAATTCTTTTTTTAGACCAGAAAAGTAGTGGTTTGGTGTTCTGAAAGGTTCAAGGACTGCAAAAACAGCTTGAGGAATCCTGTTTGGCCCTAGGTTGTACTTTGATGTCTTCTACTGTACTACCAGAGAGCCAATGTGGTATATATTGGTTTGAGTGCTGAATTTTGGATCAGCTGTGTAAACCAACTGAGTGACCTACAGCAAATTGCAATATACTGCCTCAAAGAAAAGAAAAGCCCTTGCAAAGAAAATCTTGATCAGAAACTTCGAAAGCACACAAAACAACTGGAGAACTGCAAAACACACTGAGCTATGTTATTAGCTTGTTAGTAAGACAGTTCCCGTTCCTTCGCTATGTACAGTTTTGTGTACTTAATAACAGAGGGACTGTTTACAGTATATCTATCCTATATGAGTACAGCATATTTGTATTGTCTTGCCAGCAACCCATCTGATGAGTCTGAAGTGTGATGCTTGCTTTGCAAGACACTGTTGTATGCAGCCCTTACCGAGCCATGGGCAAACGCTCCCACAACAATAGCTATGGGATCTGCAGTCGGCACTAGGTCACGCACATCTGTCACAGAAGGAACTGAAAAGGATGTGCCAATCTTCATACATCCCACAGGAAGATGATCTGTCACTGGATTTTTAATTACCTATGAAAGAAAAATATGATTAGATTATCAATATCAACAGCCATTTCAGAGACTCACAATATACTAGTAAAGTTATTACCTTTAATAATTTCTGTGGTCCATCAGCAGCTCTGACACTGAATTTATGTAACAACTGAACTATGAGGAAAGAGATGTAAGATGCTTATATTAGTTGCAAGACAGAAGTATGCCTCTAAGACACATGCATGGCATCTATCCGGATTCTTGGCCCTGCTTCTTTTTGCCCAGTGATCTGTTGAACCCTTTCCTTGGAACAACCTTCCACAAGTCATGATATATCAAGTTCACCAACCAGAAAAGACAACTAAATAGGTATTCAACATTATTCATTTTTGTAGTTCCAAAAGTTTGAATTGGTGGAGCACATTTAATGCTGGGGTTTTTTTTTAAGTATTGTGTCCATGGTCCACCAGGTAATTTCTGATTACAGCCTCTATTATTCCTGATCACTGGCCTATGGAGAGGACTAATGGTAATTGGAGGGAACAGATTCCCCATCCCTTTTAGCAATTCGTATAGCCTTCAGCTCAAAGCAATTACCAGAGTGCCAGTGGAATTGAGATGCATTAAGGCAGATTTGGAAGAGCTGCTTGTGTAGCTAGACCACCTCTGTTGCTCAGAGGTTCTACTGACTAGTAGAATTACTACTAGTTCAAATGGTTAAAAGTCACCTTCAATATAAGATTAATCATGCCTCAGGATATTAATGGTCGGAAAGGTCAATAAAAGATCTAGCAGTATTCCTGATAGTGAGCTTTGCTTGAGCAATTAACTGGCCATTGTGTTCAGAGAACAATGGGCTAGATTCAAATCCTGCCTTTTCCCTAATACCAATATTCATGGCAACTTAAAAATTACAACAGATACATTCTGGTCTCCACATCCATAGGTTCTGCACCCACAGATTTAACCAACCATAGTTCAAACACACAGAGGCAGACAAACACATATTCATATTCTCAAACTCTCTGACACTCCATGCAAGTTATCTGACATTATATAAGGGATGCCATTTTGGTAGGTCATTGTAGGAACTTGAGCATTTTTTGGTATTTAGCAGGGGAAGGAACTTCCGGAACCAGATCCTAGCAGTTACCAAGGGCCCACTGTGAAATTTAAAAACATTTTCAAAAGAGAAATAACAACATGTGCAACCTTATTGTTCAAAAACAAGCAATAAATAGAATTAAAATTCTTCAAAATAAATCCATCCAAACAAAATCAGAACAGCATTCCAGTTACACAGCACACTCTAAATTGCAGTCAATTTCCCTGAAGCTCTTGGGAACCCAGGCCCAGTCATTTAGGGATATAAAACCCTTCAGATAGTCTGGACCCAGATGTCTAGAACTTTATGTGCCTTGGATCTATTTTGACATGGTTGCTATTTGTAAATTTTTGAATTATCAAATTGCTACATGTGTTTCCCTCAAGCTGTATTAATGACCCAATGGTTTATCTACTGAAGTGCTGAAAGTTCAGGGTTTTTCCACCTATTTTTGTGTGGATTTATTTGAACTTTAAAAAAATCTGAAGTTCAAATCAATCCACTCAAAAAATTAGGTACAAAGATACTCTTAGGCCTCAGCACACAATGTCTTCATACTTTTAGCATTCATTTTTCTCCTAACTTCAACGCTCTATGGGAAGCTTATCCACTTTTGCCTTCAGTTTCCTTTATACTCCATGTAGCCTACCGTTGACTTCTTCCTACTACAGAGTTTCTAATTCTGTTGCTTTGTGTAATTTCTTCCCATTAATCTTATCTTAGTTTCTAGTCTTAGGAGCTGCATAATCCTTTCTAACAAAATTGAGTTTATTTCTCATTGAAGGTGATCCTTTTGTCAAGTGTACTGCAAGAAATAACTTTTCTCTCCAGAATGAACCTTCACTGTGACATTATCATAATGTACAGGGTGAGGCAGCATAACTTCTTTTTTTAAAATGCGCGCTATTCAGTCGGTTGAAGACGTAGCGGAGTGCTAGTGGTCTCATTCAAGAGGCGGGAGTATAAAGTTTTGTCCTGACACAGTTCAGTCGCCATCATGCGTTGGAACAGTGAGGAGCGTGCTTTTGCCGTTGAGGCCTACTTTTCCATCGGATTTGGAGTGGCCGGCCCACTCTCCAGATTTGGCCCCTTGTGATTTTTTTCTATGGGTTTTTTGAAATCCCGTGTTTATGTGAACCGTCCAAGGACCCTACAATCCAGGAAGAAATTGCCAACATAATGCCTGCTATGCTGGCAAGCCATGACAAACGCCAGAAATCAGTTTACTCGGTGTATGGAGAATGGAGGACGTCACCTACCTAATTTAATCTTCAAAACTTTAGGTATGCGCCTACATTATAAAAAAAACCTAAAAATTTCTGATTCATACAATGGGTTTTATTAAGTTTTTAAAAAAGGAAGCTATGCTGCTTCACCCTGTATGAAGTACAGGATGATTCAAAAAGATGGACCTGAACTGAAATGGCTATATCTCTGCAATCACAAACTGCTCATGAATAAAAAAAAACTCTTACTCTTTGAAAGGGTGAGGCATAGAGTTTCCAATTATTATTGCTAGATGCCGCCTCTCCCAATACACCAAGAGCCTTAAGTCATTTGCAAGAAGGCAACCCCTACAACATAAGGCTTAATGAGATATTCTTCATTTGCGGAGTTATCTTTTAAATTTGATTCTGGCTCAAAATGCTTAGTAAAACTTGATAACGCACTAAACCGTTTGTAAATTTTTGCGTAATTGTAATATGTTGCTATCATGAATTACACGGCTTTGAAACTGGATCCATCAATTTGAAACACTCTGTACTTTCCAGTGCCCTCTCAAGAAATTCAACTACCACTTCGAGGTTACTACAGATCCAGTAGCAGTGAAAAGTGATATGCAGCTACAAGAAAAAAAGGCCCGCAAACCTGGAATATTTAAACCTGAGGCCCTTCTCATTCAGAGCATTTGATTAGAGGAGAAATTATAGATTGCATTCTCTTACCCATCAGGCCACAGAAGCGATCAAACGTGCGAGGGATTCTTGTCTGTGGGTTAACTTCAATCAGAACATTCTTTTCTGTGTGGATATAAACCTGGAGAAGACCAGCTCGGTTCAAAGGACTATCCATGAGCATCAGGAGGCTCTGAGGGGAAGTGGGAAAGGCAAAGGATGTCATAAGAAGAATCAGGCTTGTTTTCTGCTGCCTTGAAAACTAGGATTCAGAGCAATGGGTTCAAATTACAGAAAAGGAGATCCCACTTGAACATTAGAAAGAACTTCCCAACTGTAAGAGCTGTTTATCAGCAGAACTCTTTGCCTCGGAGTACAGTGGTCCTTCCGTGGAGGCTTTTAAACAGAGTCTGGATGGCTATCTGTTGGGGGTACTTTGTGCTTTTCCTGCATGGCAGAATGGGGTTGGACTAGAAACTTCCCACTGGGCACAGAAGACTTGGAAGGCACAGAAGAGACTGTGCTCTGGGACCATCAGATGCAGGGCCAATCTTAAGAAATGGGGCCTCAAAGTGGAGTCTACAACATGTGAGTGTGAAAAAGAGCAAACCACAAACCACTTACAACATTGCAGTCTAAACCCTGCCACATGCACAATGGAGTGTCTTCTCCCAGGGACACCAGAGGCACTCCAAGTGGCCAGCTATTGGTCAAAGAACGTTTAATATACAAGGGTTGAATGAAAAGTAATGCCTCCAGCTTTGTTTCTTGGGCTTGGATGGAAATGTTTTAATAAATCAAACGCAGAAATAATCCTTAGAATGTGCTCTTTAACTACCACTATTCACTTTCCCACATAATCACCAGACAATTGGATGCATTTCTGCCAACAATGAACAAGTTTTCTGAAGACATCACGGAAGAAGTTGACACTGTTTCTGCAACCAGCATCTCACAGTTCTCTCAATGTTTCCATCAGAAGCATAATGATGTCCCCACAGATCTTCTTTCATTATCGGAAACAGATGGAAGTCAGACGGTGCTAAATCTGGACTGTATGGAGGATGTCGTATGATGGTGAGATCCAGTCTCTGAAGTTTCAAGTCTGTGCGCTTTCATTTCAGGCATCAGCATCCTGGTTACCCATTGTGCACAGAACTTCCAATAGCCAAGCAAAGAAATAATGTGACCCACATGTTCTTGTGAAATGCCAATTGTGCTTGAAATTTCTCTCTGAGTGATATGAGGATTGTCCTGAATCAATCTGTCAACCTTTTGCTTATGAAACTTGGTGGTTGCTGTAACAAGACGTCCAACTCTTTGTTTGTCACGCAAGTCAGATTTCCCACCTCAACATCTTTAAACTTACTTGGCCAATGACACACAGTACTCACATCAACACAATCACCATAAACAGCTTGCATTCTCAGATTAATCTCGTTTGGGGTGACCCCTTCTGCTGTCAAGAACTCAATGACTGCACGTTGCTTAAGTCACATTGATCGACAGTGTGCGCAGAGTTCCATACTTTGCACTTTCACAACTGTTCATTGCTAAGGCTTCCCGCCAAAATGGAACTGCAGAGGAGAGTCTACTGAACAAGCCAGTACCTGCTGCATACCAGTACTGTTGAAGAGTTACGAAGGTGGAGACATTATTTTTCATTCAACCCTCGTGATGCCAAGTTTTTAACGTCATGTTTTCTAAAATACATTATAACGGTAACAATAATAATAAAACTTTATTTATATTCCGCTCTATCTCCCTGAAGGGACTCAGAGTGTCCCTCAATTTGCTTCTGACACAATAAATAAATAACAAAAAAATAAAATGTTGATGACAATTTGTTTGAAACAGAACTGACAACACCATTTGAATGGCATTTTCACAAAAGGACAACCAATATTCCAAATAAGAGCGAACAGCATATAGCAAACTATGCTTTACAAGGAATTACCTGGTGTGTGATATCCGGTCGAACCACTCCAGGGTCCCGGCCGCTTCGCAGGAGCAATGATTTATGCTTGTCGCAGTTCAACAGCTCATATGTTTTCCCAACCTGGAAGTGTATTTTCACATTATTATTTGAAAATTCTACTTTTTCTACACAGAGATTACAATAAATGCAGCGTAGATCAGGCGTGGGCTAGCTTGGGCCCTCCAGGTGTTTTGGACTTCAACTCCCACCATTCCTAACAGCCTCAGGCCCTTTCCTTTTCCCCCTAGCCGCTTAAGCAGCTGAGGGGGAAAAGGAAGGGGCCTGAGGCTGTTAGGAATGGTGGGAGTTGAAGTCCAAAACACCTGCAGGGCCCAGGCTAGCCCAAAACAGGGCCTAAGTTTCCCCTTGCCTGGAGGGCCTAAGTTTCTCCTTGTCTGTAGGCGCCCTTCCCCAAAGACTGAGCCCAAACCGCAGTCCCTGAAATGTTGATCCCGTCTGCTGTCTTCCATACCTTCACTGTCTCCAGGGAGGCCCCTTCCAGGATGACCAGGAGCCGCCTCCTCCCCGCCCGCTGCGGATCCGGCCCCGCATTCCTGTCTCCACTCAGGCGCTTCCTCGAGGAGTCCTCCGCCATCTTGGGCACGCTCGCTGGTTGCCCGGTTGCCTCAACTTCCGGTCTTTGACCTCCCACTTCCGCTCAACATCCTTCCCGTGCTCAGCTGACTCCTTTTACTCGTTTTTTCTGAAGGAATTGATCAGGAACCGGAAGTACAGGGCAGAGGCGAGCACTTCCGAGGCGCGTGCTAGTTCGAAGGGGGTTTCGTCACATCCGGTGTCCTTCTCCCTTCAGAGCAGCGGCGTGGTGAGGAGCGCGAGCCAAAGGGAGCAAGCAAGCAAGCCAAAGGCGGTGAGTGGAGTTGAGTCTCTCTGCAAAGTTTAGCTCAGTCGGGGTTTGGAATGCATTTTGGTTAAAAAGGTAAAGGTGTTCCCCCTGATATAAAGTCTAGTCGCGTCCAACTCTGGGGGGTGGTGCTCATCTCCATTTCTAAGCCGAAGAGCCGGCGTTGTCCGTAGACGCCTCCAAGGTCATGTGGCCAGCATGACTGCATATCGCGCCGTTACTTTCCCGGAGCGGTATCTATTGATCTACTCATATTTGCATGTGTTAGAACTGCTAGGTTGGCAGGAGCTGCGGCTGACAGCGGGAGGTCACGCCACCCCCCAGATCCATAGAGTTGGAAGAGACCTCACACGCCATCCAGTCCAACCTCCTTGCCAAGAAGCAGGAAAATTGCATTCAAAGCACCCCCGACAGATGGCCATCCAGCCTCTGTTTAAAAGCTTCCAAAAAAAAGGAGCCTCCACCACACTCCGGGGCAGAGAGTTCCACTGCTGAACAGTTCTCACAGTCAGGAAGTTCTTCCTAATGTTCAGATGGAATCTCCTTTCTTGTAGTTTGAAGCCATTTGTCCGCGTCCTAGTCTCCAGGGCAGCAGAAAACAAGCTTGCTCCCTCCTCGTTATGACTTCTTCTCACGTATTTATATATGGCTATCATATCTCCTCTCAGCCTTCTCTTCTTCAGGCTAAACATGCCCAGCTCTTTAAGCCACTCCTCATAGGGCTTGTTCTCCAGATCCTTGATCATTTTAGTCGCCCTCCTCAGGACACATTCCAGCTTGTCAATATCTCTCTTCAATTGTGGTGCCCAGAATTGGACACAAAAATGTTGGTCAGCAAGTTCAGCAGCTCAGCAGTTTAACCCACTGCACCGAAAAAACCCACAAAACAAAAAGGCAGCGAGTCTTTGAATGTGGAGGGATGGGCCTTCTTTGGCACTATGGTTCTTTAAAAGCTGCCAGATTGTTATTATTACACTGTGTAACAAAATTAGAAAAAAAATCCTGTTCCTGATTTGAAACTTTTATTTCATGTTGCGGTCCTTAATTTGAGAGTAGTTGTTGTATTCCAGACACTTTGTTTTGGTGGCTGCCATTTTGAACCTTTCCTATGCCATTTTGAACCATGGCTGCTGACCGCAAAAACAAAGTTCATGCAGCTTAATAAACATTTTCCCATATTTTTGTGAAAGTGAAGAGACATAGGTTGGAATAGTTGAAATCAGTGCTATTTGCTTTTGCCTGACAAATATTCAACACACTTGGTAATAACTACTTAATTACTTAACAAATGTATGTGTATTTAATTCAACGATTGCATATATATTAACCACTTCTTGATTTGCCAAACAACACTGTGTGTATTGCTAATTGCCTAACATTTTTTTAGAAAAGCATGACCTTTTAGGGATCATAACCTCTTCGAAAATAGTATTTTTAACCTTTTACAGAAGAGTCAAAAACCTGTTCAAGTAGAATCTTCTCAAGTGGTATACAACCAAATGTAATCATTCAAGGCAATTGACTTCAGTTGTTTGACTGAAGCAACCTGTTAGGAAACAGAGAATAGGCCAGTGAATAAAAAATAGCAGTTCCTTAGAAGTGTTTTTCAGTGCCCAAAAATATATCTACTCTCCCATAAAACAACTCGTTTTGTATTATGCATTCAAGAATAGAATTTGGTAACAAATAACATATTTGGTTTACTCACAACCTTAATGTGTTCAAGGTCATAATAACAACAACAACAATATAAAACTTTACTTCTAGACTGCCCCCTCTCCCCAAGGGGACTCACGGCGGTTTGCACACAAAAGCGGAAAACATTCAGTTCTCAGACATGTGCAAATACATCAAAGTAATATGATATAATACAAAATAATAACAACAGTGAACTAATCAATACAAAACTTATCTGTGCTATCCAATCAAAATATCTCTCTTAGAATAAACAGCAAGGCAAGTGTTTGCAATTCTGCGATCTGAGCAGTCCCAAAGTCTAAAGAAGTCCGTGCTCTGCTCGTTCCAGAGCAGATCATGTGGTGTGCAGCCCCTCCCACAACTTCTCACAAAACAGAACAAGGAAAGAAAGCTTCATACCAGAACATACATACAATAAGTAAGCAACAGGATTATAGATTAAAAAGAATTACTAGAGGAGGCTTGAAGAAGATTGTAATTTTCAACACAAATTGATATTGATCACTGCTGTGCCTCGCCCTGAAAGTTAGTTTTATCTGGCTCTAACAGCCTCCAAGTTTGACCCCGCAAAGAATTTAATGAGCTGTTTTTCTGGGAATGGGTGAGGTAATGGGAATGGAGGTCGAGTCAACACAGCAAGATCATAAATCCTCTCTTGGAAGATAAGAAAGGTAGGAGATGAATTAGTTTAGCACTGACTCAATGAGCCTAAAGTATGCATGTGCTCACAATAAATATTGATGAGCTAATGGGTGTTTACTGTTTATATCTCTCTATCTATCTATATATATATAATTTTACAGCTACAATACATGTATACGAACATGTACACATACATAGACAGCCCACTGCCCATGTTGCTGTTACTCATTGTCCAATGAGGTAATGGTTTTTGATGCCTGCACACAGCAATTTGCTGTTTAAAATTTCTTTGTATGTTCTGATGTCTGCTCTCAAATTGTGAAGGTGCTCATCGTGGGAGTTCTACCTCCAAAGAGAAGCTCTCCCTTATTCACTATGATAAAACACATTCCTTAATGCTTACTCTTTGGCTGACCATTTTTAAAATTGCATTTGTTTGTCATACACTTTTCACTAAAACAGAAGCTTACGGTGGCCTAAAAGCACGAAGTTGCAAATAAAATGCACATAAAGAAAAATGCTCTTAACAACTTACAGAGTTAAAGTATGTACAGGCAATCCCCAACTTGCAAACAAGATAGGTTCGCTAGGTTTGTTCTTATGTTAAATTTGTTTGTAAATCAGAACAGGAACATTTTTCAAGTATGTATATTAGTTTTGGATAGGATAGGGAAGGGTTAACACCCCAGTGGTGTTTTGTTTTTTTGCGGGTTTTTTGCTGTCTGTTCCACTGTTCAGAAGATTTCACTTCACTTTCTGTCTCTGTCTGTGATTATTGGTTTCTGAAAAATTTGGAAACAAGGATTGGTGCTACAGCTTCAGTGAAGACACCTTTTCCCCCCTCTGCCAGAGGTGAATTTCCCTTCCAAGGGATAGATTTCTCTCACTTCTTGTTGTCTCACCCCTGTTCTTAACTGAGTCGTTGTAAGTCAGATGTTTATTATTCTGGGACTGACTGTAGAGAAATATATGTACAAAACCTATAACATTTTGGTGGGATTGTATTTTGTTGAGAGCCATGGCCAGAGTTTCAAAAGTTTGAATAAGGAAATTTTAGGGATGACTGAAATAGAGCATTTTAATTGTCGTTTTATGACCCTAGATCTGGTAAAGGCTGCCATGGCTCAGAGCCTGAAGGATTTTGCAGGCCGCCTGCCCGCTGGCCCCCGTGGCATGGGCACTGCCTTAAAGCTGCTTTTGGGAGCTGGAGCTGCTGCCTACGGTATCCGTGAATCTGTCTTTACAGGTAAGGCACTTCTATGGTTGTGACATCTTCTTACTGTATTTCTGGTGGCAAACTTTGACTGTTTTTTAAAATTATTTCCACAGTGGATGGTGGCCATAGAGCAATATTCTTCAATCGCATTGGTGGAGTTCAACAGGACACCATTCTTGCAGAAGGACTACATTTCAGGTTTCAATTTAGGAATTATGTTATAGGAAGCACATCTATTAAGGAATCATATTCCTCACCAGCATTTTATATGCACAAATCCCCCAAAATGTAGTATGGTAATATGGCGCTTTATCATCTTATTAAAATTTGCTGTGTAGTCAGTCATTGTGCCATACTTTTCTCCCACGTATTTTGTTCTACAAAACTGTAATGATGACTTTTTAAATATTGTATGTTTGGATGATGTGACTGGAAAATGATTTTAGTAATGAGACGCTAAGGACTTGTATTTTATTGTTCTTATTGCTCCTATTGTTTTTATATGGGTTACATTATATGTTAATGCTTTTAATTATATTTTAGGTTGTTGGGGGCATTGAAGTATATAAATACAATAAGTAACTAAATAAATAAATATTCTCTCTCTAGAATTCCTTGGTTCCAGTATCCAATCATTTATGATATTCGAGCTCGGCCTCGCAAGATATCTTCACCAACAGGTTCCAAAGGTAAGGGTGTAGAGGTGCATTCTATCCCCCCCCCCCCCTTGTGTGCCTTATCCTTCAAAAAACCATGATGGTGTACATAGCTTTGAGTCATAGAATAATAGAGTTGGAAGAGACCACATGGGCCATATAGGCCAACTTCCTATCTTACAGGAAAAGGACAATCAAAGTACCCCTGACAGATGACCATCCGGCCTCTGTTCAAAAGCTTCCAAGGAAGGAGCTTCCACCACACTTCTTCTCCTTCGTCTTTACTATAATCCTGTGTGATTTAGGTTCAAAGGAGAATAAAAAGTTCACAGTTGCCCAGAAAGCTGTCTTTGCAGAGTAGGGAATTGAATCTGGGTCTTCCCAGGGTCAGTATGATATTGTACCCATTATATAGACCTTTGCATCTTCTGTTGTCACTTCTTGCAAGGTTGTGTGGTTTTGGAGAAGGCTTCAAGACAGTGTATATGATGGGTTTTGACTTGATGATGTCATGAATAAATATGATATATAGTTTAACTGGAATTGTATGAAAAATGGATGAATGGGAGCTAAAAATTTTGGAGACAACTGCTTGCTTGCTGGACTGTCAATTAAAAGTTGCTAATGAGAACTGAAATGGTTGGCCTGCCATAGTAAACTGTAACAGTAATAAGAAAAATGTTTACATCTGTTTATCAGTGGCATTGGCTTTAGGTTAAGGAAATGTTTACAAGATTCCTTATGTTAAGAAGGAAGTCAAGACAAGGCTTGCGTTTATCAGCATCAATCAAGGAGAGTCAATATCTGCCAGGAAACTGTGATGAAAATTAACATGTTTCAGGATGAGAATATACCATAAGCCTGTCAGTAATTACTGAAAATGTCTATCAGTAATTTACAATTTTGGGACAACATCAGCAAAATATTGCTATATAACAGGCATTATAACAATCCAAAAATTGTGACAAACAGAGACACTGTTCACGTTCTGTGCTCTGCTCCATTGGGAAGGAGAGTGATCGTGTACCTTGGAGTGTCGGATCTGCAGTGGAACGCAGTCTGCACTTTGCCTCCTCCTTGGAGTCATGTTCTTTTTTGGCATTTTGACATTGTGCTTAGGGAAAGGATGCATTTTGGAAGTTTTGCAACTATGCATTGGCAGATTTGCAAGGAAGCAGTCTGGCCTAAGTGATGTTCTTCATGGAGGAAAAATGGTAAAATAGTGATGTATGCATGCTGATGGAATAATGTTTGTATGGGTAAGTGAATGCTGTGTAAAAAGGTAATTTTTGTTTGTTAGTCAGTGTAAGTAGGTTGTTTGTGGATCCAATGTTGTTACATAGAATCTGTGTGTCTGTATGTCTAAAATGTTGTTCTGTAAAAGTTCTGATACCCTTTCTCTTACTGGAAAATTGCAATAAAAAGAACCCATGCTTTAAAGTTATTGAAAAGTTATCCATAACAATGAGACCTGGGTTTATGGCTGAACTGGGAAGAGAAGTAGATTTTAGAGAAATATAACTCACTTCTTCTCTGGTGTTTTGATGCTTATTCTAGACCTGCAGATGGTGAACATTTCCTTGCGGGTTCTGTCACGCCCCAATGCTTCAGAATTGCCCAGTTTATACCAGCGCCTCGGTATGGACTATGAAGAACGAGTCTTGCCTTCCATTGTCAATGAAGTGCTCAAAAGTGTGGTGGCGAAGTTTAATGCCTCCCAGCTCATTACTCAACGAGCTCAGGTGAGTTTTCTTCCCATATGGGCAAACCTAATTGATCTGGTTCCACTTCTCACAGGAGATTAGGCTTTAAAAGTGTGGGAATGTCAGTCATAAGGCTGTGGATCCTTCATGCTACTTGTATAATTGTTGGAAGCATCAAGGGGCAGGTGGGAAATTCCTAAGCACTTTTGAGACCCTTCTTGAGCTGAAGCTCTCAGGCTCTGCTCATAGAGATATATGCAACCACAGATTGCAATTATTCCTTCAGGTATCTCTGCTTATTCGTCGGGAGTTGACAGAGCGGGCAAAGGATTTTAGCCTTATTCTCGATGATGTAGCCATCACAGAGCTGAGCTTCAGCAGGGAATACACAGCAGCAGTTGAGGCCAAGCAAGTGGGTGAGTTTCTATCTAAATAGAGATGAGGTTTGTATTTTGCAGCCTTGATGAGTGGGGGCAAAAAGATGGGGATGTGTGGTTATGATGGCACACTGGGAATATTAAGAAGAAAACTAAATGTGTCTGGCTGTTTTCCCAGTGACCATTGGTATGCCCTAATTACTATAATTCCCTCAAAATAAAACTCTACAAACAAGATTAAGTTCAACAATGGATGGCATCCTTGAAGTGACTGGACTGACCTTGAAGGAGCTGGGGGTGGTGACGGCCGACAGGGAGCTCTGGCGTGGGCTGGTCCATGAGGTCACGAAGAGTCGGAGACGACTGAACGAATGAGCAACAAGAACAGTGAAATATAAACCCTGAGGTAACAAACTATGAATTTCTATGAGGTAAGTATTCTATAAACTATGGCAAGTGTGTGCTATAACTATGGCATATATAACTATTAACTAAATATATGGCATATATGTATTATCTATGAACTATTTATCTATAAGCTTTGGCAAATATTTGCCATAGAATAGATAATATTTGCTTTAGAGTTTATAGTAGATGTTATAAAGAATAGATAATATATGCTTCATAGAATTCTTAGATAATACATGCCTTAGAGTTTATAGTTTATAGAATACTTACCTCATAGATTAGAATATACATCCCCCAATAGTTAATAGTTATATATGCCATAGTTATAGCACACACTTGCCATAGTTTATAGAATACTTACCTCATAGAAATTATAGTTTGTTACCTCAGAGTTTATATTTCACTGTTCTAACACCATCATAATCAAACTGTACTTTTATACCTTGATTATTCAGTAAACAATTGTTGAACTTAATCTTGTTTGTAGAGTTTTATTTTGGGGGAATTATAGTAATTAGGGCATACCGATGGTCATTGGGAAAACAGCCAGACACATTTAGTTTTCTCCTTAATCTTCCCAGTGTGCCATCATAGTGATAAGGATGGCCTGTTCAAATTGCTAGGCCAGACCAGACACTTTCTGGCAACTATCTATAAACTATGACCAAAAGGAATGGAATAAAAAGTCTTTCTGCCAAGCTCTGAGCCAGAATGGGCTGAACCAACTGAGCTCGGCCTCTAGGGGGATCCTAAATTCCTACTCTGAAACTTAACAGAATGGAACAGTCTAACTCCAGGGAAATAAACAGGCCGAGACATCACAGTGGTGTTGAAATATGGTTCCCCCAAGGTACTCTAGTCTTCTACTTCAAGCCACAGAGAAAGGTGGATAAGAAATGTATTATTATCATTATCAAATGTTAGGACTGCTACATTATACACAGATACCTGAGAGTAGTCCTGGTGATTGAAATAAGTAGCATAGCTAATGTCCATTGGAATACTGGCTTTTGGTTTTGTTGAGCATTGTTTTGAGTTTCAACATTGCTGTTTTATATTCTTATGTTTTATTTAGTGGTGTTTTTTTCAGGAATGTTATGTTTTACTATGCTCTTATTTTAATTGTGTTTTTGTTTTTATGGATTGTTTTGTGTTTACATTTTGTGAGCATTCTGGTCTATGTGTAAGCCACCCCAGGTCCCTTCAGGGAGATGGTGGCAGAGTATAAGAATAAAGTTTTGTTGTTGCTATTATAAATAAGTATTAGATAAACGCTTTCCTTGCAGATCTCCAAGTTTATATCTCTTTTCATTCTGGGTAGGAAATATTCTTGCCTATAGCCCTGGTGAGATATTGTTAGGCAGTATTGCATTAAGTAAATCACTATTTGACTCAGTAAAGCACAAATAATGTTCCTATGTTTTTGTGTTGGAACAAACACATAGGATTTTATTGTACACCAGGGATGTCAAACTTATTTCCATCGGTGGCCACCTTAGCCTTATGGCTGGCTTCAAAAGGCAATTGAATCCATGGACGGAGAATCCATGGATACAAAGGGCCAACTCATATGTGTGCGCGTGCATGCGCGCACACACACACATACACATAGCGGTCAGTGCTCTTTAGTTCATACCCTGTTTGGGTCCCCAGATGTTGTTGAACAACAACTCCCATAGCATTTGAATATCCACAATGCAGACTGGGGGTAATGGGCATTGCATCCAACAGCACTTGTGGCTCTGAGGTTGGGGGAAGGTTAAAGGACATTTTAACATCACACAAATCCTATATCTAAATTCAAACCTCACTGTCTTTACTAAACAGAACAAACTACATCCATATGTTAATGTGTCATAAGTCTCATCAGCTGTAGTCATGATATTTACTGATGAGGAATACAGGAGTGATAGTTGAGCGACTGGAGTGCCACATAAAAGGATCTAGCAGACCGTGAGTTTGAGGACCCTTCTATACCGCCATATAATCCAGAATATCTGCTTTGAGCTGGGTTATCTGAGTGCACACTGCCATATATTCCAGTTCAAAGCAGAAAATGTCTGATTTTATTCAACTGTGTGGAAGGGGCCTGAGACATGTGTTGCAAACCATTAAAGAGCGATGACACCTCCGAAATTATTGTATGGAGGATTTTGACAAGGAGTCTCTACTTGATCCTCTGGAAAACCAACTCTCTTTCCTTTCCTACTGTAGCTCAGCAAGAAGCGCAACGAGCTCAATTCCTGGTGGAGAAAGCTAAACAGGAACAAAGGCAAAAGATTGTTCAGGCTGAAGGGGAAGCCACTGCTGCCAAGATGATATCCTTATTTGTTCCTAAGGAGACAAATCGCTACAGTTACTCAAAAATGTGGAAAGCTGTCTCTTCCAGAATTGCTTTCTAAGCTTCTTTTTTTTTTTTTTGGGGGGGGGGGGGGGAACATAAGCAACAGCTAGAAACCATTCCCTCCCACTAAAAAAAGAAGCAAGGTGCTGTTGCTCTTCTCACCCTGGTCAGGCGTGGGCAAACTTTGGCCCGTCATTTGTTTTGGGCTACAACTTCCACAGCCAGTAGACTGTTAGGAATTGTGGGAGTTGAAGTCCAAAACTCCTGGAGGGCTGGAGTTTGCCCATGCCTGATCTAGGGTGAGGGCCAAGTTCCAGAAGTCTTTGAAATGTTGCCTTAGCCAATCCCTCACATAGGTGAATCTCTCGGCAAGAACCCAGGCTATATCAAACTGCGCAAGATCCGTGCTGCCCAGAACATATCCAAGACGGTAGGTTTTGAGGTTCTGTGCTTGGCTTTCCCTCCTTTAGTCCCTCATTGTCCTAGGCCAAGCGACAGGTGCAAGGCAAATTTGGTAGGCCCATGTTTGATTTCTGCATGTTTTATATCTGCATCTTACTTTTTGTAAGAGGATCCCCTGTTACATTGAGTGTGAAATGACTGGCTGTAGCCACTCAAGGACTGCGGTATGCCATAGGCCAAGGAAAGGCTCCCAGGGAAAGCAGAAAGAATGCAGACATTTCAAGGACTGTTAGGAAGCTACCCATTTATGCAAATCTGTTAGCAACAACATGCAGTGTTTACAATGGACTCTGCAGAAAATGCTTCAACAGTATTTCATAAAAAGGAAAATCAGCCTGTTTAGCAAACCTTACCAATGCTGATCTATTTTCAGTAAATGTTTTATTTTTATACCTATCTACCTAGGGATCACATAAACATTTATTGGGCAGAAAAGGGTAATGAATGAAAAATGATAAATAAGCCCTGCTTTAGAACAATAAGAAAATATTTCAGAAATGAACATTTTCAAAGTTTTACCTCCCATCATAGTTATAATGTCTTATTTCTGGCAATTGGTCAGCAAATGTTAAGTTCAATGGTAGCTAATGGTGATGTTTGTTTAGGCCCAGGTTTTTTCTTTTTTTTTTTTTTTACAAGAATAGAACTCGAGCTGAAATAATGGCTGCTCCCGACCCTTGTGTTTATGAAAAACCTTTATTTGGTTGGTCTCATGCTTAGGCCAGTATATCTTTTCTGCCTCTCTTTTGATCCCATTTCTCATCTTTTCCAGATTGCATCGTCACAAAACCGTGTTTATCTTACTGCTGACAACTTAGTGCTGAATCTACAGGATGAAGATTTTACTAGGTGAGGAGACTTGTGGAGATACAAATTACAAAACAGCTTTAGGGGGTGTTCTTCTAGAGTGGCCCTTGGCATGCTACATCTGCTGAATATGATTTAGGCCAATAATGACAGCTGTGTAGCTTGTAGGTTGTGTGGAGCCCTCACCAGGCTCCCTCTATAAAATCCAACCTAGAAACTTCTAAACAGATACTGATAGATCATTTAAAGCAGGCATGGGCAAACTTGGGTCCTACAAGTTTTTTGGACTTCAACTCCTACAATTCCTAACAGCTGGAATTGTGGGAGTTGAAGTCCAAAACATCTGGAGGGCCCAACTTTGGCCATGCCTGATCTAAAAGATGTTTTGAGAGACCATCCAACCTGTCCTAAGGCTAAAATGTTCCTTATTTAAAAATCAGAAGTTAATATGATCGCTGTCATTTTTGAAAAGAGATTTGTGTATGGATAATCAAGGATGAGTGAAACCAAGGTGAACTTCAAGCAGCTGCTTCTACATGATTCAAGGGAGCTCTGAAAGCACCAATATATCTGTTGGAGGTGGTTGTGAGCAGGAAGCCTTGACGTAAGCTGCATTAAGTTTTTTGAAGGAAAACTAGTGTTGTAATTAATACACCTTATTTTTCGGAGTGTTATTCAAATGCACAGGTTCTCTGAAGTATATTTGATTCTCCCATCACTCCTTTCAAGCACACAAAAACTCTTCCCTCCTTCTATAATATATGAAACTTTTCTAGATCTTTCTAACACTCTTTTTTCTCTCTCCCATTTCCCTCCCCCTTTTCTTGATGGATGCAGAGGAAGGTAAGATACACTTTATTCTATGACTTCATTAGTGGGGGATAGTTAGTCAAAGTATTTTGCCCTCACATTCTAAACATGGCAGACAACAGCTTGGGACTGGTTAGTTCCAAGTAAAGTAGACTTATTCAAGCAATTATTGAATGGGCATTCTTCATGTAAAGGTAAAGGTTTCCCCTTGACATTAAGTCTAGTCGTGTCCAACTGGGGGAGGGGGTGCTTATCTCCATTTCTAAGCTGAAGAGCTGGCGTTGTCCATAGATGCCTCCAAGATTATGTGGTTGGCATGAGTGCCATTACTTTCCCACAGAAACGGTACCTATTGATCTACACACATTTGCATGTTTTCAAATTGCTAGGTTGGCAGAAGCTAGGGCCAATAGCGAGAGCTCACCCTGCTCCCCAGATTTGACCCACTGACCTTTTGGTCAGCAAGTTCAGCAGCTCAGCGGTTTAACCCGCTGCTCCACCAGGGGGTCCTACATGATTCTTCATGTAAATGTAGTTTATTCTACCCTATTCAGGGTTAACAGGATTCATAGACCTTAATCATTTTAGTAAATTAAAATATTTTTAAGTGAGTAATAAACCTAATGGTTCTAGTAGAGATGGGAGTGGAAGAGAAATTATGTGGAAATCATGAAGTTACGGAGAATAGTATTGGAGAAGGTGAAAGGATTGGATTTGGTTTCTTCTGAACCTTGTCCTGAGTAATACCTATGAGAATGAAGTGATAGAGTTTTAATAATTGGAGAAAGAAGCTGCATAAAAGAAAGTAACTAGGGAAGTGTACAACAGAATAGGTTTCCTCCCAGTTAGGTAGGAAGTACCACAAAGTTGGGAAGAAAGGAAAAGTGAAGAAAATGTGAAGCAAAGAGTGCAAAATGGCACAAACAGGAAAAACTAAATCACGTTTGAGTTTGTCAAAGCCAGTTGCAACAAGACACGGGGATCACTGGGCTCTTCTTCGTTAGTGAAACCAGGCACCCAAAGCTATAATTGGTCCACTTCTCATAATTAAATGAAACATAGAGCTGGAGGCCTGAATCCTTTTGGTAATCCTGGCAAGAGTAACTGTATTTAATCCATTGAATATACAAAATAAGCTGAGTGATATTCAAATAAGAATTCAGCCCAGAAACAACGTAGCTATTCCTGCATTTCATCAGTAAGAATTGTGTGGACCTGCAGATTTTTTAAATTATTATTTATTTATTTATTTATTTATTTATTTATTTATGGGCGACCGGCTTAACAGTCCTTGCCATCATAGCTAGTGAGGAGGAATGTTGGGATTTGCAGTCCCAGGAGCATTTGGAGAGCCAGCTGTCATGTCAAGATGATATTGAGTGAGTTCTTGTTCTCCATATATTGTGTATGATTCTCACAGTGCTTTGTTTTCCGCTTGCAGTGACAGTCTCCTGATAAAGCAGGCGAAAAAATGAATTGGCAGTGGCCTCCAAGAACCCTCCAAACAGGGAGCATGGTAATCATGGACAGCCTCAGCAGTGCCCTACACATATTTTCTGTCCATATGCATTCTCCTTGGCCTGGGCATTGTTTTCGGTTCTCATCTTCACTTGTATCGATTTCCCAGCCCACCAAGAGCTCTTTCTGACTAATCTGGGTTCTGTTTTTGAGAGTTTGACGATGACATGAGGGAGAGACAAGCACGGGAAAGAGACCGTGCGCCACTGAACACTGAACTGGTCCATCTCAACATAAAGGATTGGGGCCAAGTAGGCAGCAGAGTGGATGCATGATGCTATCTTCTCCGTGGACTTACACAGACCATGTTACTGCTCTCCTCTGCCTGCTGGACCTGAGTGAGGCCTTAATACACAACATAGGCTGTTTCTCATCTCAGTGGGTGTCCCCTCTGCCCTCTATTGAGCATCCCATCTCAGGAATAGGGGGCTGTGTCGCTTCTATAATTGCTGTGTTCATTCATGTAAATTCGATCGCCTTGTAATTCACATCTTTATAAAAAAATAAAATCAGGTCTAAAATTTCCAGTGCTGGTGTCAATGTAATGTTCTTTTTCTAAATGGAAAGATGGTTTCACATGAAAATTAGTAGAAGTGGAAAACAAAAGAAAAGGTTGGTTTTTAAAATTTCTGTGTACAGCAGGCATGGGCAAACTTCAGCCCTCCAGGTGTTTTGAACTTCAGCTCCCACAATTCGTAACAGCTGCTAAGCTGGCTGGGATTTTTGGCAGTTGAAGTCCAAAACACCCAGAGGGCCAAAGTTTGTCCATGCCTGGTGTAGAGAGACCTCTTCTTTGGAAACGATTACACTCAGTAGCAAAATTTGAAAAATGTTCTGTTCCTGGTTTCAAAGTCTTATTTCCTGTTTAATTGTGCATTTGAAAATAGTTGTTATACTCCAGAAGCTTCATTTTTGTGGCTGCCTCAAACTCTTTTTGCTTACCACTAACTCCTCCACTTTTGAAGATGTGGCAATTGAATCTCTGTGAGCGATGAGGTCACTTCCTCTTTAAAGGTATTTTTATTGCCCTGGGGTTTTGGCCATGTGGTCATTCTCCATTGCCCTCTCTCTGCCTTTGTCTCCTTTCCAGTGAGGACGCATTTTGCTATTTTCCAGGCAAAAAGTAACTGCATGGATTTTTTTTTATTTTTTTCCCCTTTTACCTTCCTTAGAAGATGAGCAATCTAGTTAGCTCCAAGACCTTTTCTATCCAGAATATATTTCTTTTCTTGAATAAATATTTTGACCCTAAAGTTCTGTACCATCCTGTTCAGTGGAAGTTAATTCTGACTCACCACGTGTAAGTTTCTGCTGGTTATGAAGTTTGCTTTTAGCACTCTGCTATATTTATGGTGGAATCGCCCGAAGTGAGGGTTATTTTTGAACTTAACAACTCTGATTCCCAACAACAAGGAACTTTAACACTATGGCTATGGCTCCGTTCCAGAATCCCAGTCTCTTTCCCATCCACATGTTAACACACCACAATCCAATAGCAGTGATGAGGACACAATCTTTCCAAGTCTGAAAATCAATCCAAAATCTAGTTTATTTACAAAATAAAGGAAATCAATCTACTTGACTAGAAAACCATTATTTACAAAGTGCAGTGGGAATATCTGGTAGCAAAGCAGTGGGTGTTGGACTTTTGCAGACTGTGTTCAGAAGGCAGCGTTGCACAAAACAAGATTAGTATTGACCCACCAGGCAAAGTTTCAAACAAGCCGCAAAAAGGAATTGGATCGGAAAGAAAGTTGCAGCTACGGAGCTAATATTTAATCAGAAGCAGCAAATGAAGGTTTGGACCTGATGGGGCCTAATACCTAGGCTGACCTAGGATAAATAGATTTGGGAGCCCATGTGGAGGAAAGAGATATGGGCATGAGTATGTATACTGAAAAAGAACAATTAACATATTGTCAGCTCTCAAAGATGCCCTTTGAAGTCAAAACTGGAAAACAGATTTAGTGGTACACGAGGCTGGCCATTTCTCAGTAACCAAATTTACACACATGCGGAGAATGAGTGTTTCAGGGCTCCCAACCTGCAGATATAGAGGCTCATAGGCAACTAGATGGGTGAATCAAAAGAAGCAAAGGAACACACTCATTAGTAAAAGCAGAAGGTACCATGCAAGGTTCCCACACCAAGAACCAAAATGTCTTCATCTGGTGCTCCCAATTCAAGAAACATCTTGGAGTTTTTCTAGCAAGGAACAAGACAATGTCTATAGGCACTTGGGTGGCATTACTTTTTCTTCAAGGAGCCCTTGGGTTTTTTCTCCTTGCCCAATGGCTTTTGAACTTTTTCCTCTTTCTTGGCTTTGGCTTTGTCTAAATTCTCATAGAGGGTGGGTTCCTCCTTTTGCCTGTGGAAGGAGAAATGAAGAAAAAAGGAGAACATTCATCAAACAGCACTTAGGGGAGAGCCACAAGGCCACAAAGTACTGAAAACAGGAAATGAAGAAGGGATTTGCCATGGATTGGGAATGGGGCAGAAAGTTCAATGGAAGCCCAAGAGGCAGGCTAGGCTCATGCTTATAATAATAATAGTAATAATAATAATAATAATAATAATAATAATAATAATAATAATCCTGCAAAGATAGTGGAAAATGAACACACAAAAATACCGTGGGACTTTCGAATCCAGACTGACAAAGTTTTGGAACAATACACCAGACATCACGATTGTGGAAAAGAAAAAAGTTTGGATTATTGATGTCGCCATACCAGGTGACAATCACATTGAGGAAAAACAACAGGAAAAACTCAGCCGTTATCAGGCCCTCAAAATTGAACTGCAAAGGCTCTGGCATAAACCAGTACAGCTGTTCCCAGTGGTCATTGGCACACTGGGTGCCATGCCAAAAGATCTCAGGCAGCATTTGGAAACAATAAACATTGACAAAATCATGATCTGTCAACTGCAAAAGGCCACTTTACTTTGATCTGCATGCATCATTCAAAAATACATCACACAGTCCTAGACGCTTGAGAAGTGTTCAACTTGTGATTTTGTGATGTGAAATCCAGCATATAGATCTCATTTGCTGTGACGTACTGTGGATTTGTGTCAGTAAAATAATAATAATAATAATAATAATAATAATAATAATAATAATAATAATAATATAAAACTATGTTTTTAGACCATCCTCTCTCTCTGAAGGGACTCAGGGTGGTTTGAACACAAAAAGGCAAGCATATAGTGTCAAACCATATCCAAACTTCTTGAAAGATACATGCAAGGAGCACCTGCAGTGTAAACCCATTTTCCCACTCTCAATACAAGCATTCATACCAGATCAGACAATAGAGCGGGAGCTGCCGGTGGCACAATGGGTTAATAATAGTTAATAATAATGGGTTAAACCCTTGTGCCAGCAGGACTAAAGACCGACAGGTCAGAGGTTTTTTGACATTTGTCCCAGAGGTGAACAAAGATCATCTGAAGATGCCAGTAGCCACAGGTGCAGGCAAAACGTCAGGAGAAAATGCTGCTAGAACATGGCCATACAGACATGGGAAACAGCCATGCTATTCTCAATCACTGCTGCTGTCAAAATGTTATATCTTACCCTCATCGATGCTATATTTATTTTTGCTGTCCTTTGGCTACAACTAGAATAGATATTACCACTGCATTCTTACTTGGAAGATTTCCGTGAAGCTTTTGCATGGGGAGTCTTCTGTGCAGGTGGGTAGGTAATATTCCCATATTCAGATTCGTTTGGTCTTCCTTTCTGAGACTGTAGCAAAAGAAAACATTACAGAGTGGATCATGCTTGCTGTTGTCATGGATAAATATGATACATGGTACAAATGAACTGTATGAAAGGTGTATGAATGAGAGCTAATAATTTTGGAGACACCATTCTGAAGCCAAGGCTTGCAATGACTAACTGTAATTAAAACCTACTAATGAGAACTGAAATGACCTGCTGTAGTATATTGACAAAAACTGTGACAGTGATAAGAGAAATGTTTATATCTGTCAACATTTGCTGACCAGAAACTGGATTAACTCTAAGGGAAATTGTCTCTGTTTACATTTGTCAAAGACAATGTTCTTTTAAGTCAAACCCAGAACACAATGGTTCGTTACCAACACCAATTACGCAAAGTCAACATTTGTCCAGGAACTGATGGAAGCAACATGTTTCAGGTTAGAAAAAAATATGTCATTCATTTACAACTCTGGGACGACATCAGCGAAAATATTGCTATATAAGAGATCTTATTACAATCCAAAAATTGTGACAGAAAGTGGTGCTGTTCACCCGCCATGGAGAGATGGTGTACTTTTGGAGTCGTGATATGTGGAGAGTGTCAGATTTGCAATGGAAAGCAGGATTCTGGACACTTGGCCTCCTTTTCTCAAAGGAAGAGAAAGGAGTGTGTTTTGGAGTCATGCTATGTGTTGCAGAGAGTCCGTTTATGATCCTTGTTATTGTTCTTATGGAAAGAGGATGTGTTTTGGAGTTTTAGAAGTTTTTGAAGTATTGGAAAAGTGGCAGATTTGCAAGGAAGCAGTCTGACTTAAGAGATGTTCTTCACGAAGAATGGCAAAATGTATGCATGAGAGTGAATGAATAGGTGTGTAAATGCTGGGTGAAAATGTAATTTCCCCTTTGTTTGTTTGTTAGCCAATATAACTGTAAGTTGTCTGTGAATTCAATGCAGTTACATAGAATCTGTATGTCTGTGTGTCTAAAATGTTGTTCTGTAAAAGTTCTGATACCTTTTCTCTTACTGGAAAATTGCAATAAAAGAACCTACGCTTTAAAGTTATTGAAAAGTTATTCGTAACAGAGTTCCACTGCTGTGTTTCCTTACAAACACAACAGCAGGAATGGGGGAGAGAGAGATTATACACTTTGCAATGCCTAGGGCTCTGCATTTCCAGCAGCTTTATGCAGGCCAGGACAGCTCATCTCCAACTCTTTCTCTTCCGGAAAGCATGCTAACATGACAGGATAACCAAGTGGCCTGCCCCATACCTGCATAACATCCAACTTCTTCTTAGTGGTCTCTATAAACTGGCAAATGGCCATATAGATGAATTTGTACTGAGCTTCAGTCTGCACCATTCCAGAGCGCTGGGACCGGACCATCTGAATCACTTTTGGGATATCTATATCACAGTCCAGCCCTAGGACGAAATGAGGAAAACAATGAGGAGGGTGAAGCAGCAGCAATGGAAGACTTACATGTGTCAACAAAGATGTAAATCTCACAAAGCATATTTATGCACAGTCCCAAGAAAATGGTATAGAAAAGAAAGTTCACTGTATCATTGTTCCAAACCAAACATTGCTGGCTGCAAGTCTATGACCACAAGCTGGCCCCACAACAACAGCAGTAGCAGCATCAACTTTGAGGATAGAAAGGGATAAAATATTTTAGACTTCTTTTATGGCCCTCCCATTTCACACAGACTACATGGCTTGAGGAAGTATTACTTCTTGGGAAGTAATACTCAGTGTGTAAAGGTGACATTCTCCTGCGAGCAGACTGAAAACATTTTGCCATACATTTGGAAAGAAAGAGTGAGGATGGTCAGCTACAGAAGATGTTTGAAGGACCAAGAAGTGGGCATCAACAAATGCCTAGCTCATATCTCCCAGGATAGCAAAGACAGGTTAAATCTCAATTGCAGTATCATACAAAGGACATTACACTCAGTTAGTGCTCCCCTTAAGGAAGTGAAATATGTACAACCATGTCTATAACCAAAAATGGAAATATTTCCAGAGATTTAGTATAGCTGGTAAATCATCAGCAATTATAAGATCTATCAACCAAAGGTTGCAAATTCGAAGCCCTGGGTTGGCAAGAGCTGCCAACTGTCAGCCTAGCTAATTGTTTACCTAAGCAATTCGAAAACAGCTTTAGCTGTGATTAGAAAACTTAGGTACTGCTAAAAGTAGGGATGGGCCCCCGGTGGCGCAGTGGGTTAAAGCTCTGAGCTGCTGAGCTTGTTGATCGAAAGGTCGCAGGTTCGATTCCGGGGAGCAGCGTGAGCTTCCGCTGTCAGCCCTAGGTCTGCCAACCTAGCAGTTCGAAAACATGCAAATGTGAGTAGATCCATAGGTACTGCTCCGGCGGGAAGGAAACGGCGCTCCATGCAGTCATGCCGGCCACATGACCTTGGAGGTGTCTACAGACAACGCTGGCTCTTCGGCTAAGAAATGGAGATGAGCACCACACCCCAGAGTCAGACATGACTGGACTTAATGTCAGGGGACTACCTTTACCTTTTTTTTTTTAAAGTAGGGGAGGTGTTTTACGACGCCATAAAGAAAAAAGACCGGAAAATGCTGGGCGACCCAAAGGAAGGAGGAAGTCCTGACGGCTCTTCGTCATAGAGGATTGAGCAACAGTACTACCTGGAGAGCCCAGCTTTCCACGACACCAAAAACTGAGTCGAAACAAACCGCCTCCTTCTGTTCTGTATGTCTGTGTATTGTCTATACAAAGCAGTATTGAATGTTTGCCGTGTATGTGTACTGTGATCCGCCCTGAGTCCCCTTCAGGGTGAGAAGGGCAGAATATAAATAAAGTAGTAGTAGTAGTAGTCGTAGTAATATATTTCATTATGCATCTCAATCTTCTTCTAAGTACAGTGAAATCTCAATTTATGAGCAACCCAACATACATGTTTTTTTATATATGAGCCGCTGTGTAGCTCGTGTTTTGCTTCGAGATACGAGTGTAGCTCCAAGTTATGAGCTAGTGCAAGAGGTAGCACCAGAGAGAGAGCATGCCACCCGCTATCTTAACCAGGGCTTCAAGGGAAAGCTCCTTGCTCCAGAATTTGAAGAAGGATGCCCACCAGCTCCCTTCCACCAGGTTTCCAATTACCACTGGAAAAGCCCCATCCTTGAGTCATGACTTTGGGAATTTGCAAAGGGAGGAGGCAAATTCCCTAAATTTCTCTCTCTGCCCTAAATGAGAGAAAGCTTTCAGTCTGCACAGCTGCCATAAAGTCCATATGGCATGGATTCAGCAGAGAGATGTGAAAAAGGAGTGCACTCACCTTTTGTGGAGATCATATCCACAATCATATCAATGACAATGATGGTCCCAGTGCGACCAATTCCAGCACTGTGTGGAGAAGCAAAAGACGGGCATTAGGAGCACAACAATGCATTCTGAACAATGCGCAGCTTGGAATTGCCTTCCATATTTTGAAAATAAAGGTTTAGCTGGAACAGGGTTTTGTTTAATGACTAGGCACAGAAATGTGCATCCTCAGTGGAGTAAAGTATTTGGCTGCTTGGCTGGTCTTGAGAAGCACATGGCGTTTGGTCTTCAGATAGCTCCACTTCCCATGAATTTTTCTGATCCCTTTCCAAAATTATAAGAATGACCACTAATGCGCCCACCACTACTTTTTTTAGGAAAGAATTTGTGGGTTTAAGTATGTCTTGTGTGAAAAAATGAATACCGTTTTCCATCAGCTAAACACTCATTTACATAAGCCCTTCTTGTTTATATATTTACACTATTTATACCCCGCCCTTCTTAACCCCGAAGGGCACTCAGAGCGGCCTTGTTGGAAATAGCAACCTTCTTCAAGCCTCCACTAGTAATTTGTTTTGTATATGATTCTGTTTGCTTACTGTATTATATATGTATGTTTTGGTATGCAGCTTTCCCTTTACTCTATGTTTCTTGAGATTGTGGGAGGGACTGCAGACTGCTCAGAGCTCAGACTCCATTTTAGAGGACAGACGCCACTAGTCTTTGAACTGTTAAGAGAAAACTCATGTTGCTGTTGATTGTAAGAAAGATGCCCTGTATTATTTGCACAGAGAAACCACTTCAAATCCATCTGTAACTGGATTGACAGGTTATGTACCTGTATGCTGAATAATACATGAAGGTTGTGAGTAAACCAGATATGTTACTTTTAATGAAGTCTACTTCATTTTTATCTCTTGAGAGCATGATATAGAAACAAAATATTTAATGAGAGAATAAAAGTTTTTGGGCACTGGAAAATGAATATTTCTGAAGAACTGCTATATTTTGTACCTTGGCTAACAACTGAAAATCCAATTGCCCTACATAAGTACATATGGTTATATATCACTGAAGAGAAGATTTTATTCAAACAAGTTTTTTTGGCTCTTCTCTGGAAGATCATACATTTACAAAAGGTTATGATTTTAAATGGTTGTGAATGCCATTTTTCTACAAAAGGTTACAGAGATTCTGATTTTCCAAAACTGCAATTTTTCCAAGTGTTGGAACTGCAGGGTTCCTATCCAGAATATTTGTAAATATTGAGTCCACTGCATTCCCCATGTAAAGAAGGTTGCTTCACAGATGTTAACAGGTGGTGAAGAGGGCTCCTTTACCCACAATATAATGAAACAAACTAATTGTCACCTCACTACCTCTGAGGATGCTTGCCATAGATGCAGGCGAAACGACAGGAGAAATGCCTCTAGAACATGGCCCTATAGCCCGAAAAACCCACAAGAACCTAAACGAATTGTCCTTTAATAGTGTCCTGTGATACATCTTGAGCCATGAGAAGAGATGGGTAAGAAATAAAAAGTATTGTTGTTGTTGTTGTTGTTTTTGATATTAATATTATTATATACCACTATCCTATTAAAACAAGCTGGAGCCCCTGGTGGTGCAGTGGGTTAAACCCTTGTGCTGGCAGGACTGAAGACTGACAGGTCARAGGTTCACATCCAGGGAGGGCGTGGATGAGCTCCCTCTATCAGCTCCGGCTCCTCATGCAGGGACACGAGAGAAGCCTCCCACAAGGATGGTAAAAACATCAAAACATCCGGGCATCCCCTGGGCAACGTCCTTACAGACAGCCAATTCTCTCACAYCAGAAGCGACTTGCAGTTTCTCAAGTCGCTCTTGACACGACAAAAAAAACAAACAAAACAAGCTAAATATTCACCTTTGTTGTTGCAGCATCACATTGCTGGGTCATTTTCCACTTATGATCAGCACTAATCCCAAAGTTTTTTTTCTCACATGTGCTGCTGTTAAGCCAAGTATTTCCCATCCTACACCTGTGCATTTTATTGTTCTAGCCTAAATGTAGAATTTTTCATTTCTCTCTGGGCTGGTCTAAGTGTCAACACATGTCCAGTCTCCCTAGACACTGTTACTTTCCTCCCTCAGTTAGTGTCATATGCATTCCTCCATGGTCTACATCAATAAGAAGTGATCAGTTTTGAAGAGAAATCCTTCGGACATTCAGCTATATCATGTATACACAACACTTCTGAGATGAGGAAGAACTATATATTTGAATTGAGGAGGTAAAAAAAACTGAAATGCTGAAGTTTCTCCTGCCATCATCATTCTCTTCCTGCATCATAAAGAACATAACTATTAAGTCTTTGGAGCAGAAAACTGGAATCACAGGCAGGATGGTGTTGCCTTCCAGATTAGCTTTCTGACTATTCTGTGGATTCCATATCCAGCAAAAGACTAATTCCTCAAGATTTGTGCCAACTAGCTGGCTTACCTGCAGTGTACTACAATGGCTCCAGCCTCAGGGACACTCTCTTGCTTCTGGTTGATTTGGTCAAGGAAGCCAAGAACTCCTCCAGGTTCACTGGGGACACCATGGTCAGGCCAGCTCAGGTACTGGTAATGCCAAATGTCTCTCACAGCCTCTCCCTAAACAACAACAAGGGCAACATCACAGCCTCGTGCAGCAGAAATCTGCTATCCACTCTGTCTCTTGTCCTCTCTCTCCTTTGCTCTTCCCATCAGAGAACCTGCCTCACTTCCTGGACCAACAATGAGAGGAAGGACTGATTCCCCATCTACACTGTCATATAATGTAGTTTGAAATCAAATCACTTAAATTAAATTAAACCGGTTAAACTGCTGCAGAGAAACTTTCTGATCAGAAGGTTGGTAGTTCAAAGCTGCAGGTCAGTGTGAGCTCCCACTGTCAGCCCTAGCTTCTGCCTACCTAGCAGTTCGAAAACATGTAATGTAAGTAGATCAATAGGTACTGCCTTGGCAGGAAAGTCAACAGCACCCTGCAGCCATGCAGGCAAAAATACGACCAGGAGGGAGAACAGGCTCCTTGGCATGGAAAATGGAACAAGAGCATCTCCTCATGGCCAGAGTTGAGCATTGCCTCCAGACGCCGGAGATGGAAATGGAAACCTTTGCCTTCGTTTGTGTGTTGTATGTCATTGTCCACTGTATAAAAGTCATTAAATGTTTGCCTATATATGTGAATACTGTAATCTGCTCTGAGTCTCCACAGGGAGCTAGAGTGGAATATAAATATGGTGCATTATTATTATTACTAGACCCGCATAATGCAGTTAAATGGTATTATAAGAGTCTCCACTGACCATATAATGAAGTTTTTAAATTGCCCCATCACCTGAATGAATAAGCCTAGCCCTGTCTGCCCGAAGGTGGCTTTGAAGTCTAACAAGGAAATTGTTAGACTTTGTTCAACTGCACAGATGTTCATTAAAGTCGGTTAAAATAAGTCACTAATTAATTAGATTCCCAATATACCCAAACTCCATAAATCACAACTCCGTGATTATTCCTACACTTTAAAAATTAGTTATTTTAAGATCCTTCTGGGTTTAAATTGTGTTATCGTGTGTGTCAGGCCCCTTCTATACTGCCATATAATCCAGATTGTCAAAATTATCCACATTATCTGATTTGAACTGGATTATATGAGTCTATACTGCCAGATAATCCAGTTCAAAGCAAATAATCTGAATTTCATATAGCAGTGTAGAAGGGGCCTCAGTAGTTCTGCTAAGGCATTTTTAAGTTCAGGCAAACTATGATGTACAGATTCATTTTCAAATCAATGACAAAAGAACCTTCTTCTGGAACCAACTATATTGCAGAACAAGGAAAGAGTTTAACCTCATGTCTGTTGCCTGAACTAAAAGCATCCCACAAACCACCATCATCCTTATATAGACAAATTTAAAATAATTTAAAACTATTTCCTGATTTGTTAGCATAACCACAACACTGCTGGTTGACTTCCAAATACTTTCTCTCACTTCTGCCGGCAATTTCCTAAGACTAGCGATTGTATTACTTACATTATTGATAGGTGAGATACGGAGCTGTCGGAGTTTGTATTCAAGGGCGTCGTGTTCTCCAACATTTTCGACTATGTATGGTCTATATTCTTTACTGCTTCCCACCTCTGGCCAGTAAGGGACACATTTGTTCTAGAAGGAAACACATTTTCCTCAGATTAAATGTGTACAGAAATTTTTAGGAATCCAAACAAGTTTCAGCAAGTCATGGAAACAGTTGGGAGGCAGAAGCAGCTGGCAGAACCTTTCACATCACACCTATAGCATTTCCACTGAAAGCTGACTCAACCACCACCCAGTTTTTCCCATCCCCATCACCATACATCTGTAAGCTAGAATTTAGAATTTAGTGAATGGTAGGTAATCAAATCATCGACAGTCAAAGAGCATTCTGAACTCCACCAATGATGGAATTGAACCAAACTTGGCACACAGAACTCCCCTGACTAACAGAAAATACTGGAAGGGTTTACTGGGCATTGACCTTGAGTTTTGGGGTTGTAGTTCAGCTACATCCAGAAAGTACTGTGGATTCAATCAATGATGGATCTGGACCAAATTTGGCACAAATATTCAATATGCCCAACTGTGAACACCAGTGGAGTTTGGGGAAAATAGACTTTGACATTTGGGAGTTGTAGTTGCTGGGATTTATAGTTCACCTACAATCAAAGAGCATTCTGAACCCCACCAATGACAGAATTGGGCCAAACTTCCCACACAGAACCCCCATGAACAACAGAAAGTACTGTGATTTCTGATGGTCTTTGGTGACCCCTCTGATACCCCCCTTACGACCCCCCCCCCAGGGGTCCCGACCCCCCGGTTGAGGAATGCTGTACTAAACTCTATGACTAGAGTTTAGTCATTGAAGACAAAAGAAACAAATTCTAAGGTATACATTGTGAAGGCAGGTGGATGACCAGATTAGACTCTTTAGAAGGACAAGGGCCTCTACTTACCCTTCCTTTCTCCACCTCCCGGGTGGTCATCACAATGATGCGTGAATTTTCCTGCCATACCATCTGCCAGAAATCATTGACGGTGGCGTCCAAGCAACCTTGGCTAGCGATGTATGTTTTGGTGCACTCTTCAGGGCTAACCATTGTGTTCTGCAAAGAATCAGAAACATCAGGAACTGCTTTCATGTTGGAAATACAAACAAACAACGGGAGCTTTTTACTATTTGTGGTGAACTTGTCCAAAATCCAAAGAGACATGGAAACTATATTAAAGTACAAAATCCCATTGAAATCAGAACTTTTCCTTTTGGGAATATTAGACAAGCAGACATTGAAATGTTAAGAAAGAATCTTTCTTTATATGACAACAGCAGCAAGAATTGAATATGCAAAACTATGGAAACAACAAAACACATCAATATGGGAAGATTGGATTACAAATGTTTTTGAAATGGCCAAAATTGACAAATTAGCTTTACAACACCCCGCTCCCTGGATTTGAACCACTGGCCTTTTGGTCAGCAAATTCAGCAGCTCAGCAGTTTAACCCGCTTTGCCACTATGGGCTCAATTGACCTTTTAGTACCCTTTAATTAGAATAGAAATGTTTTCAAGTTTTGTTATTTAGGCATTTCAAATAACATCTGTGTAGTGTTTAAAAGAAGAAGAAAAGATGACAACGTAACATAGTAAACTCTCACCTACACAATATTAACTTACTAATAAATGGAATTAATTTTTTAGAGACAAATTGGGACCCAGTTTCAAAATATTTAAAAAGAAACAAGAAAAAATATTGCTATGAGAAGAGGAAAAGAAAGAAGGGCAAAAAAGAGAAAAGAAGAGAAGAGAAGAGAAGAAAAGAAAAAGAGGGGGTAAGAGAAAAAAGATGTGAGAAGAAGAAGAAAAATGGAAATAGAAGGAAAAGGAGAGAACCTCGATGAAGATACCCGGGAGTCAAAACATCAAAACAATATTTTTCTAACTATTTTGGGGGGGGGGGGGGGAATGTGAAACATCTCTATTCTCTATTCTATCTTTAAAGCACATCACTTCCTTTCTATATTTATTATTTTTTCTCTTTTCTCTCTCTTTCTCACTTTTTCTATCTTTTCTTAATTGATTTAAATGTTTCTATGGAAAATTTTCAATAAAGATTTTTTTAAAAAATAGATTTAAACGGCAGTTAAAATTAGATAAAATACATTAAACATATAAATCTATTAGAATAACTAAGCCGAATTTTAAATGTAAATATCTAGAAAAGAAGACAAGAACATAAGAAGGCATGACTACCAGTTGTAATGTCAGATGACAAGCGTATGCTTGTTTGTTTTTAATAGAGGATATATGGAATTTTCAATATTTTAGAGACGAGAGGTCCTCAAACTAAGGCCTGGGGGCTGAATGCGGCCCTCCAAGGTCATTTACCCGGCCCTTGCTCAGGGTCAACCTAAGTCTGAAATGACTTGAAAGC